TTGTTCACCTGTTCTTGGTTCAACTTTGGTATATGGTACTTATCTAAAAAAAATGTCCATTTCTTTTACATTTTCCAACTTTGTGGCATATAAACTTTCATAGTAAGATCTAATGATTCTCTGAATTTCCTCTGTGTCTGTGGTTGTGGTCTGTGTGGGGCTGTGTTCCCACCTGGATCCCGGCTAGCTTACCCCCGACATAATTACATGGAAACAGTATTCATTTAAACACTGCCTGGCAAATTATCTGTAGCCTCTTAATGGCTAACTCTTACATATTGATTAACCCATTTCTATTAATCTGTGTTTACATGATGTCGTCACTTACTGGGAAGATTCTAACCTATGTCCATCTTGGACCAGGGCTTCATTGCATCTGCCTGCCTCTGCTTTCTTTCTCCCACAATTTTGTTCTGTCTACTTCACCTATCTAAGCTGCTGTCCTATCAAATCCAAGGCAGTTTCTTTATCAACCAATGAAAGTAACACATAGACAGATTATCCTCCTACATCATGGATTAATATCCAGGTCTTCAATTTGATTCCATTTGTCAACGTCTCTGTTTTTTTTGCCAATACAAAGCTGTTTTCTACTTTAGCTCTCTAATAGAGCTTGATGTCTGGGATGGTAACGCCTCTGCAAGTTCCTTTATTGTATAGGATTGTTTCGGCTATCCTGAGTTTTTGTTTAACTTGATTATTGTTCTTTCAAAATCTGTGAAGTATTGTGTTGGGATTTTGATGAGAATTGCATTAAATCTATAAATTACTTTGTTTAAGATTGCCATTTTTACTATGTTGATCCTTCCTATACAAGAGTATGGGAGATCGTTCCATATTCTCCTATCTTCTTCAATTTCTTTCTTCAAAAACTGAAAGTTATTGTCAAATATGTATTTCACTACCTTGGTTAGTGTTATCCCAAGATACTTGATAATATTTGTGGCTATTTTGAAAGGTGATGTTTCTCTGTTTTCCCTCTCATCTTCTTTATAATTTGTGTACAGGAAGGCTACTGATTTGTTTTTTTCCCTTATTTATTTATTTATTTATAAGAATTTCCACTTCCTCCCCTCCATCCAATACCCTCCCGCTCCCCCCACTCCCTTTCCTCCTCCCTCTCCAATCCCAAGAGCAGTCCTGGATATTAGAAATAGACAAGATTGCCAGGCAAACTTGGGTTCACAGGGGGTGGGGGGATGGAAGTAAGGGGAGATGATTTGTTTTTTTTGGAGTTGAACTTGTATCCTGCCACATCACTGAAGACATTTATCAGCTGTAGGAGTACTCTGGTAGAGTTTTTGGAGTCACTTATGTACACTATCATATCATCTGCAAATAAAAAAAGTTTGAATTCTTCCTTGCTAATTTGAATTCCTTTGATCTCCTTTTGTTGTCTTATTGCTTTTGCTAAAACTTCAAGAAGTATGTTGAATAGATATGGAGAGAGTGGACAGCCTTGTCTTGTTTCTGATTTTTAGTGGAATGACTTTGATTTTCTCTCCTTCTAATTTGCTGTTAGCTGTTGACTTGCTGAATATTGCTTTTATTATATTTAGATCCCTAATCTCTCCAAGACCTTTATCATGGAGGAATTTTGGATTTTGTCAAATGCTTTTTAAGCATCTAATGAAATGATCATACTTCTTTTTCTTTCACTTTATTTATATGATGGATTACATTGATAGATTTTTGTATGTTGAACCAGTCCTGCATCTCTGGGATAAATCCTACATGATCATTATGAATGATTTTTTTATGTATTCTTGGAATCAGTTTGGCAGTATTTTATTGGGAATTTTTGCATTGATATTCATGAATAAGACTGATCTGTAATTACCTTTCTTGGTTGAGTCCTTATTCGGTTTTGGTATCAGGGTAACTGTAGCCTTAAAAAAAGAGTGTGGCAATGACGCTTCTGTTTCTATTATGTGGAACATTTTGAGGAGTATAGGTAGTAGCTCTTCTTGAAAGTTTTGGTAGATTTTGAGGTAAAATCTTCTGGCCCTAGGATTTTTTTTTGGTTGGGAGGTTTTTTATAACAGCTTTTATTTCCTTGTGGCTGATTTAGTTCTATTTAAATTGCTTACCTGGTCTTGATTTAATGTTGGTATATGATATCTATCTAAACAATTTTCCATTTCTTTTACATTTTCCAAATTTATGGAGTACAGAGGGGATTTTAAAACCACAAATAATTGACAATTATCTTCTATATTTAAGGTGGATCCATATTCTTAAATTGTTTTTGTGTTTTTCTTAGATAATCTTAGAAGGATTTTTTTTGTGATGAAACATCATGACCAAAGAAAGTTAGAGAGAAAAGCATTAATCTGACCAACTCATTCATAATATGGTTCATCATCAACGTTGTCAGGGCAGGAACTCAGTCAGGATTGGAACCATGACTTCAGAGGTGATTTGAAGTCTTTTGTGTCTTTGGTTTACAGGCTTATTCTATGTTACCTCTTTGCTAAGCTTGCTTTTTTATAGGATCCAGGACACCAACTCAGAGCAGCTTCAGCTCTATTCTATAAATCAATACTTAGGAAAATCCCCTAGACACTTAACTAGAGCTCTAACTCCACCATATGGATACACTTTCCCAATAGAGGCTCCCTCTGCTCTGAAAACTGTACTCTGTGACAAGATGACATAAATCTACCCACTAGCTTATTTTGCATTTGTTTAATTATGTTTACATACACATGGACACTAATATAATCATAATGGTATTATTATAATAACAGTTTATATTTTTATGTTTTGGTTAGAATTTTATTTACATGGTGCAAACAATGGTAACTAAGCAACAAGAAACTTCAGTTGCAGAAGAAAAGCATTATCAACTTAAGAGAGAGGGTTCAGGAAGTTGTGGAAATTGCCAACCGTAAGCAGGTTCTTGAGCTCAAAAGGAAGCAGACTACATAACCATATAGAGCATGCTGGTAAGCTATGTTTCTTTGTGTATCCTCATTTCAAATCTTTTCTTGTGTTCATGTCCTGATTTTTCTACATGATGGACTGTAAGTTTTAAGATGAAATTGTTTCCTTGCCACTTTGCTTTTGGTTTTGGTGTTGACCACAATAGACAACAAATGAACAATTTCATTGTCTGATGTTCAATATTAGTGGTCAAGAGTCCCTTCCTGATGTGGGATGTACCTCTGTATATGTGTTTTTTATTTGGTTAATGATTAAATTGATTGCTCTATGTCAGGGCAGAATGTAGCCAGGCTAGACGAGATATACAAAGAAAGTCAGCAGAGTCAAGAAGACTCCATTTAGCTGCTAAAGGAGAAGGTTGTCAGTAACCACAGCCACGTGATGATACACAGATTAGTAGAAATGAGTTAATTTAAGATATGAACTGACTCTGTTTATACCTTCCTACTGCCATTGGTGTATTAATATACCTATACATTCTCAAATGTGTATGGCAACTTACCTAAATTATCCAGGCATTGAAAAGTCATTTATGTGATTTTTCTCTACATGCACTTCAGAATAAAATAAGGGATTCCACTTCTCTCAATGAGTTAGGATGATCATCCTAGACAGCCTGACTTGACCTGATTCTATGAGAGTAGAAAGGAGAAGTTGGAAATCAAGGGTGCCTGTAATTTTCAACTTGTATAAGAGTTTCTGCATAAAATAATTTCATCATTTCCACAGAACTCTTTAAACTTTATCAACAAATCCCTATCACTTACTGTGAATCCATGTCCTTCTCTGCATAGTGGAAGTGTTCACATCAGTTTTGGGAAAGAGACAAATGTCAATGCACTGGACATTTTCCTAGTCTGATCGAGATGACACAAAAATATTTTAATATATATTTCATATAAACAACAATTATTTCCTATACTATGGGGCTAGGAAATCTAAGGCAGAAATTACTGAAATTCCAGTAGTCACTGCAGTTTGTCATTCAACATGAAGGTCCCGTGTCATGTGATGTGAGGCATAACATATGTATGGGGACGTATACAAGGACACTGATCACAGCCCACTTTACTTTATAATGTCTCAGGGGCTGACTTTTCAGCAGGTGAGTGATGAGCAGACAGAACAGACAGAGCATGGCAGCACTCCAACATCTCCTTCCTGGAAAATTAGTCTCCTGATTTATGTCACAGTCACATGGCTACAAAAACTTCTTCTGTGCTTCCCACAAGTAAAAAAAGGTGTGTTTAACATCACAATTCTTCAGCAAAATTTAAACAAATCTGCAGTAAGTTACAGTGGTTATGCTGGGAATAAATGTGGCCTGAGTTGTCATTCTGCCTAATATTAACAGTATGTAATTATCATTTTATCTTCAATTGCATTCTTTCTTTCTTTTTTTTTTGAAAGTAAATTTTATTAAATTATAAAAGTTTCCATTTCCGCCCCTCTTCCTAACACCCTCCCACTCCCCCCACTCCCTCTCCTCCTCCCTCTTCGTCCCTTAGGGCAGTCAGGGTTTCCTGCCCTGTGGGAAGTTCAAGTTCCTCCCCCCTCCCTCCAGGTCCAGGAAGGTGAGTATCCAAACAGACTGGATCCCCAAAATCCAGAATATGCAGAGGAAACAGGTCCCAGTATCATAGTCAATGGCTTTTCAGAAAGACTTCGGGCCAGCCACATTCAGAGAATCCGGCCAAATTCCGAGAATTTGGTTAGATCACGTCCTCGTTCAGTCCCAGTCCAACTGGCCTTGGTAAACTCTCATTAGATTCGTTTCCTTGTATGAGTGGGTGATAGCATCCCTCGCAGTACTGATTTCGTTTTTCATGTTCTTCCTCCTTCTGCTCCTCATTTGGACCTCGGGGGGCTCAGTCCGGTGCTCCAATGTGGGTCTCCGACTTTATCGCCGTCCTTCGCCAGATGAAGGATCTATGGTGATAAGCAAAATATACATCAGTATGGTTATGGGCCACGGCCGATTCAGGCACCCTCTCCTCTGTCCAGAGAACAATCTGGGGGATCTCTCCTTGGACCTGGGATCCCATATAAAATCAAGTCTCCTGTAAACCCTAAAATGACTCCCTTAGTTGAAATATATTCTTCCCTGATTCATCCTTCCTCACTCCCCCCATCCCAGGCCACCGAGCTTTCCCCATTCCTCCCCTACTCCCTTCTCTCTAACCCTCTCCCCTTCCATCAACCCTCCCACTCCCCCATGCACCCGAGGTTACCTGGGACTCTTGTCTATTTCCTACCTCCTGGTGGATAGCTAAATAATCTTCATCAGGTTCATCTTCTTATTTAGCTTCCCTAGGATCACAAATAATAGGCTCAAAGACCTTTAATTATGGTTAGAATCCACTTATGAGTGAATACATACCGTGTTCCTCTTTTTGGGTCTGGCTTACCTCACTCAGTAAAGCGTTTTCTATTTCCATCCATTTGCATGCAAAATTCAAGATGTCATTATTTTTTACCGCTGAGTAAAACTCTAATGTGTATATGTTCCACACCTTTTTTAACCATTCTTCTATTGAGGGGCACCTAGGCTGTTTCCAGGTTCTGGCTATTACAAATAGTGCTGCTATGAACATAATAGAACAAATGCTTTTGTAGTATGTTAGGGAATCTTTAGGGTATATTCCCAAGAGTGGAATTGCTGGGTCCTGAGGGAGGTTGACTCCCAGTTTCCTGAGAAACCGCCACACTGATTTCCACAGTGGCTGCAGGAGTTTGCATTCCCACCAACAATGGATGAGTGTTCCCCTCCCACCACATCCTCTCCAGCATAGGCTATCGTTGGTGTTTTTGACTTTAGCTATTCTGACAGGTGTAAGATGGTATCTCAAAGTGGTTTTGATTTGCATTTCCCTGATCGCTAAGGAGGTTGAGCATGACCTTAAGTGTCTTCTGGCCATTCGAAGTTCATCTGTTGTGAATTCTCTGTTCAGTTCAGTACCCCATTTTTTAATTGGGTTAATTAGAGTTTTAGTGCCTAGTTTCTTGAGTTCTTTGTATATTTTGGAGATCAGACCTTTGTCTAATGAGGGGTTGGTGAAGATCTTCTCCCAGTCAGAAGGCAGCCTTTTTGTCCTACTGACAGTGTCCTTTGCTTTACAGAAGCTTCCCAGTTTCAGTAGATCCCATTTATTCATTGTTTCTCTTATTGTCTGTGCTGCTGGGGTCCTACTTAGGAAGAGGCCTCCTGTGCCTAAATCTTGTAGAGTACTTCCCACTTTCTCTTCTATCAGGTTCAAAGTGGACGGATTAATGTTGATGTCTTTAATCCATTTGGACTTGATTTTTGTGCATGGTGATAGATATGGATCTACTTTCATTTTTTTACAGGTTGACATCCAGTTATGCCAGCACCATTTGTTAAAGATGCTTTCCTTCTTCCATTGTATACCTTTAGCTCCCTTGTCGAAAATTAGGTGTTCATAAGTTTGTGGGTTAATATCTGGGTCTTCTATTCGATTCCATAGGTCGACGTCTCTGTTCTTATGCCAATACCAAGCTGTTTTCAATACTGTAGCTCTATAATAGAGTTTGAAGTCAGGGATGGTAATGCCTCCAGAAGTTCTTTTATTATATAAGATTGTTTTGGCTATCCTGGGTTTTTTGTTTTGCCATATAAACTTGATTATTGTTCTCTCAAGGTCTGTGAAGAAGTTTGATGGGATTTTGATGGGGATTGCATTGAATCTATAGATTGCTTTTGGTAGAATTGCCAGTTTTACTATGTTGATTCTCCCAATCCAAGAGCAGGGGAGGTCTTTCCATTTTCTGGTATCCTCCTCAATTTCTTTCTTCAAAGACTTAAAGTTTTTGTCAAATAGGTCTTTCACTTCCTTGGTTAGAGTAACCCCAAGATATTTTGTGCTATTTGTGGCTATCATGAAAGGTGATGCTTCTCTGATTTCCCTCTCTGCTTCTTTATCCTTTGTGTATAGGAGGGCCACTGATTTTTTGGAGTTGATCTTGTATCCTGCCACGTTACTAAAGGTGTTTATCAGCTGTAGGAGTTCTTTGGTAGAGTTTTTGGGGTCACTTATGTAAACTATCATATCGTCAGCAAATAACGAAAGTTTAACTTCATCCTTTCCAATACGAATCCCCTTGATCTCCTTAGGTTGTCTTATTGCTATTGCTAGAACTTCAAGCACTATATTGAAGAGGTATGGAGAGAGTGGACAGCCTTGTCGCGTTCCTGATTTTAGTGGAAAGGCTTTGAGTTTCTCTCCATTCAGTTTGATGTTAGCTGTCGGCTTGCTGTATATTGCTTTTATTATATTTAGGTATGATCCTTGTATCCCCAGTCTCTCCAACACCTTTATCATAAATGGGTGTTGAATTTTGTCATATGCTTTTTCAGCATCCGATGAAATGATCATATGGCTTTTTTCTTTCAGTTTATTTATATGATGGATTACATTGATAGATTTGCGTATGTTGAACCATCCCTGCATCTCTGGAAGAAGCCGACTTGATCATAATGGATAATTTTTCTAATGTGCTCTTGGATTCGGTGTGCCAGTATTTTATTGAGAATTTTCGCATCGATGTTCATGAGTGAGATTGGCCTGTAATTCTCTTTCTTGGTTGTGTCTTTGTGTGGTTTTGGTATTAGGGTAACTGTAGCTTCATAAAAGGAGTTAGGCAATGACTCTTCTGTTTCTATATTGTGGAATACGTTAAGGAGTATAGGTATTAGCTCTTCCTGGAAGTTCTGGTAGAATTCTGCATTGAAACCATCTGGTCCTGGGCTTTTTTTGGTAGGGAGATTTTTGATAACAGCTTCTAATTCTTCGCGACTAACAGGTCTATTTAGGTTGTTCACCTGTTCTTGGTTCAACTTTGGTATATGGTACTTATCTAAAAAAAATGTCCATTTCTTTTACATTTTCCAACTTTGTGGCATATAAACTTTCATAGTAAGATCTAATGATTCTCTGAATTTCCTCTGTGTCTGTGGTTGTGGTCTGTGTGGGGCTGTGTTCCCACCTGGATCCCGGCTAGCTTACCCCCGACATAATTACATGGAAACAGTATTCATTTAAACACTGCCTGGCAAATTATCTGTAGCCTCTTAATGGCTAACTCTTACATATTGATTAACCCATTTCTATTAATCTGTGTTTACATGATGTCGTCACTTACTGGGAAGATTCTAACCTATGTCCATCTTGGACCAGGGCTTCATTGCATCTGCCTGCCTCTGCTTTCTTTCTCCCACAATTTTGTTCTGTCTACTTCACCTATCTAAGCTGCTGTCCTATCAAA